AAGGAAAATATTGGACATGAAAACATTGTACAACACAAGATGATGTCACAATGGATTAATCACATGAAACACAACCCAAACTTCTTCTGTACATTCACATTTAAGGGAACTTTTTATCTGAAAAAAAAAGATGACTATATAATAAATACCGAGGTATGTGAGAACACAGTGTTTTTACATATTCGCTCCGTCTAAGTGTATGTTTCTTAGAATACAATGGAAAAACCGAATCAAATATGGCGAAATAAAATTATGCCTAGAACAAAGCACTTAAAAAAAATGAGTAATAAAACTTTTAGGAATATTTTATTTCATTTTCTTGGTGTGTCTTTCTCTTACAACCATATCACCTATTTATATCTACAACAATATAAAGAGTAATAAATGGCCTACATTTTTCTTTCATTCAAGTTTGACAATAAAGTTACCAGTTTAAAGTAACAATTCACTTCTCTAATGTTATTCGAATGTTAAAACTCTTAAGAATTAGTTCAACCATTACATTATAATTTTTTTTTCTTCAAAACCACAAATATTTTGTAACTCGAAAATATATACTGAGTTCGGAGTCACAAGAGCCCAAATGCAACAGAGCATGAAGTAGGAGACATCTACTCCGTTACAAACATGTAATAAAATGAGTCTAGTTTAACACCAGCTAAGGCAAAAGCTTAGGAACCAATGTTAAAACCCAGCTCAAACCCATGTAAAGTGATCCCCAGGGGGTCCGTGCCAGACAGGAAAAATAACTAACCACTGCACCCTTAGAAGGGACCTAGTTAGTTATCAAAAGAACTAGAAGAAAGGAAAAGCTCACTAACAAACAAGCTCTAACCAAAACAAATACTAACTACTCTAAACAGAAACAAAAGCATACTATAACCAATCAACCACCGCAATTTTATCTGTGTCCAATTAAGATCAGAGTTAGTTTTGAAACACCCGTAGCTTGCGGGGCTTCTACATCCACCAAAGGAGGTAACTTGAGAGCTGGAACATATCCTCCATAATGGTTTTATGGGAGGCAGAACAGAGACTAAACCACCAGTTTTTTAAGTGCCCTGTGTGTTGATGAAGTCCTTCCCCATGACAACGGAGCTAATTTCCAAATGAGCTTGGCTCTGGGACACCTGAAAAACAAGTGTTCTTGAATTTTTTTTATCTTGAAAAACAAGTGATCAACCTGTAAACCTTTGGAAATCAAGTTGTATAAGACTGGCTGGGTGTTATTGCTTGCTCTTCAGAGAAAATGCTTGTTTTTGTTACTAATTTTGAGACTCCACATTCTCTTCCTTGCTAATTTTTTCTTCCTGCTAATTAGCACTTGTCTCAACTATATCCAACTTCTTCCAATGTTTGTCAATAAGCTTGAGTAAGTGAATGAGATGAGAACTTACCATTCCTGCTTCACTCCCAAGTAAGGTTGTCTCTATCATGAGGTTCAAGTCCCTCGATTTTCAGAATAGCTGCAACAATGTCACGTGTAAAAATCTGCTCAATCGAATTTCTATTCCATCTTCTGCAAGAACTGTCCATTAGATCTTTAACTACCATGTGCTTTCAGTGCTGAGCCTCATCTTCAAAGGATTTAAGGTTGGAATAGTCAGGTACCCATGGTTGGTCCCAAATGTTCACTACGTTTCCATCCCTGACCTGGAATCTGATTCCTTCCATATAACAATCCTTGATCATCCACTAGCTTTCCCACAACCATGAGCTATTAGTCTTTTTCTTTGCTGAAAAGAGGCCGAAGTTTGGGAAGTACGTTTCTTTCAGAATGTTGCTTATAAGAAGGCGAGGTTGAGTTTGGATTCTTTACACCTAATTAGATATCAATGCCTGGTTGAATATATGTAAGTCATGGAAATTCAGGCCA